GCGTCTGGGCCTCTTGGCTCTCTGCTGATCCAACGCAGCGATGAGCCCGCCAACACTCGAAATGACTTCACCTTTGAAGCACTTGCCACACCTTGCATTCAAGGAGGAACAGCCTTCCTCAAGCAGTTCAAAGTTGCTCGAAGTTACCAACCTGCCACATGCAGTTGACCTTGTTGACTGTGAACACCTGTGCACTACATGACTGCGCCTATTCCTCCAAACTGGACCTGGTATATCATTCTGTGCAGCTGGCATGTCTTCTCCGTCTGAACTACTGCTCGAGCTCGAGCTCGTCGAAGGTATCTCACTGGATTCTTCATCTGCAGCGTCATCTGCAGCTGCACCTTGAGTCTCCTGTTCCAAAGGCGTTGTTGGAACGCAAGATGCGTCTCCATCGTCGCAAACTTCGACAGCGGCTGGTTGCAAAGGAGGTGCACCAGCATGTTTTTCCAAAGGAACTGCAGCATTGTCGGCAATCTTCATGAGGTCAACCATGCGGCTCGTCCTGGACTCGTCTGGTCTGAAGTGATCCTGTCTGATGTTTGCTAACATGCTGCAGTAGAGTTGTAAAGGTCGGGTCAACATGTCCCGTGAATAAACCGCCATAGCTTTTGCACCCTGCAACTCATGGTGACACAGCAAGGTACGTGACGGCTCATCCAACCCGTAGGCACTGCACCATGCCAGGGTGGTGTGCTTGAAGCTATGGGAAGAAATCGCATTCTCACCACCTGTCTTCAAAAATTTGTTTGCAAAGTTTCCAATCTCCTCCGTTGTACAAGATCTGCGGCACAGGCTGCCATCATGCGCTGGTGCCCTGCAAATTGCACCAAAAGGTTCATGGTCAACATCGATGTTCAGCTCATGCATGGCTGCTAACCAGTGCTTTGACCAATCAACATCCGTCACTCCCAGCAACGGCGCAACCAGGGGCATGTGTCGTTGCTTCTTTGCTAAGCTTGTTGCAGTTTTGTGGAACTTAGTTCTAGCTTCGACAAACCCAAAAAGTTGTCCATTGAACTCTGCGCGCTCCACCCAAAACTGATCCACAAACCTCAGATCCGACCACCTGGACCTGGACAGCACCGCAAAAATTATTGCACCCAACATGTAAAGGTCTCTCACATCCAGATCTGAAGCCATGGCTTTTTCCAGTGCAGCCAATTCCTTGGCCTTGAGCGGCCTCGCAGGTTTGTAAGATGATTTGGAAGCCATGAGACGTTGCTCTCTGCCTCTCAACTGAGGATCCAAAATCAGGCCCTCTGGAATTGGTACTCCCAGCACATACTTCGAAAATCTGAGCGCCTCCAACAGCGTTGTGCCCTTTGATGCCGGCGCCCCATGCGAGCCAACTGAACCCAGATATTTCAAGCACCAAGAACGGTCCCAAGGTTCCCAATCTGCCGACTGCGTTTGTAACCATGCAAAGTAGCGCAACAGTGTCTGTGCCCTCTTAACTGCAGTTCTGGGTGATTTGATTCCCAGTGCATCTCTCAAAGCATCACTCTGAGCTCCAGTCGCACCATATGCCTGCTCTGCAAGCAAAGATAACCCAAGCGTTCCAGGAAAGCCCAAAACCTCAAAGACTTGTAACCACTTCTGAAGGGCCTTGTCCCAAAGCACCGTGTCTTCCACAAAAATATCCCTGTCTGGCAAAACCTTCACCGCAAATGAATAATATGGCAACGCAATGTCATCCCTCACCAAGCTTTGGGCCGTAGGCACATCTGCTGCAGTGCCTTGCCCTGTCTGCTCGTCGACCGTTCCAGGTGGTATCGCAAAATATTCAGCAGGTACCGGTGGCACAACTGTAGAAAAAACTGAATCATCATCACTATCGAAAATCTGCTTCATGATTCCTGTTTCCCATGGCATCTTTATGACAGCATCACCAATAGTACTCATGCGTGCCTCAAACAAAGCTTTGTTGTAATCTGCACGGGTTGCTGGCGTATCAACTGAGGATGAGGCTTTCTCAAAGGTCTAAACCCTGAAACGATCCTCCATGATCAGGTTCAGAAGCTCCAGACCCATACAGCAAACCCACATCATTCCCAAATTCAGGTGAATCATGAGCAGAAAAAATAACATCTGAATTGCAAACTGCAGCACTGGGGTTTCGCAAGCCCTCCAAGGATCCAGCATTCGATGTATTGAGCAAGGCGACAAAACTATCAGTCTCAGGCAGCTCACTCTGGCTCTGACTGTCTATATTCATCCAACCTCAACAAAAAGTCCTGGCTATCAATGTAAGTGCCGTAACATGTGCAACAGACTGTCTGAAAGTCACCTCTGGCCAAAAATACAAAACTCCGCACCTCAACGAAATGGCCCGACTGTGAGTGATCCCAATGTTACGGGTAGCCAAAATGAAGAAATGAATGCAGATGTGTCGTATCTGTTAGGATCCCAGGGCAACTGTATTACACCCCATGGCAGCTCAAGAAGAAAAAAACGTAGTCCACAATAAAGTGGAACCCACCCTCCCTCCCTTTGGAGGCGCTGCTTGAAAACCAACGGCCACACGAAAACATATATTTTCGTAGACCACTAGAAACAACAGACACAACTGATCGTGTAAACAGAGATTTCTTCAAACACGATTGTGCGTGTCATCCTTGCGTAAGGTTGGAACCTGACAAAGAAGGCAGTTGCATCCAACAGCCAGTTTATAAAACAGGTGGTTGAAACAGGGAAGGGTTTCAAAAAGAAATAAGAAAGGTTTGCATTCAAACCACAACATAACCAAGAGGACTCTATAGTCCAGAACCCAACCCAGCACAACCACAACCCAAATGCACAAACGCAAGGAGACGCGTAGAACGCACAGGAGCGCGCAAGAGGAGTCCGCTAGAAGTTGCTTTCAACTTCTTTTAAGGGCAAGGAAAAATAAGGTTACATCAGCTCGCTGAGTCGCAACATGCACTCAAACCCCATGACAGATTCAACTTGGCATACCTCAGAGCAGACAACATAGCGGCCGCTGAGGTGGCACCACTTGCAACCTTCAGTCGATGAAAATGCTTCCAAACCAGTTCTTCAGTGAAGGGCATGGTGACATCGGGTGAATCAGCAAAAGTCTCTCTCAAAAATTTGAGAATTGCATTGGCCCGGCAAATTGCAGTGTGAAAAGACCTGACACCGATAACAGCCTCCAAAATCTCCAGCGCTTCATCGAGGTGATCGTCAATGGGCCCCAAGGCAGCAATGTTACGACCCACATCGCTAGTTTGCAAACAAACCATCAACACAGACAGCCACTTGTTGCATGCGCTTGATTGTAACTTGGACTGTTGTGAACTGTAATCTGAGTCTGAAAGACAAGCAATTGCACGAGCATACACTGGATCGTCCTCTCCAAAAGGTTTGAAGGCAGCAGCAGCCAACGCCTGTGCAGTTGCATCTGGACCATCCTCCGGCACATCCAAGCGGGGAAACCATGTCATGTTGAACTGCTGCTGCAACGGCTCATCACCAAAAATTTGCTTGAACACACCCTTTTCCCAAGGCATCTGTATATCACTGGCCTGCGCCACACTAAGAAATGCATGTCCAAGAAAACTGTCGAACTGTTGTTTCGGGATGGGCTCATCCATCACATTGTTGACACCATGCACATCGCTCTGAGGTCTAGAAAAATCATGTCGACCAGTTGCAAAGAAATTTGAACTCCAACCAGCATCAAAATTGGATTCCCCAAAAAGATTTTTGTATCCGCAACTGAGCTCGCCGCAGCTTCAGAAGATGCCGTCTCGCAGATTCACCGGCCTTAAACGGCCTGAGTGTCTTCTTCCTCCACGGCATGTTCACTTGAAGCTGAGCTAGAAGTAGCTGTAATTGTGTCCAAGTCCCAGACCCCCCCTTGACCAGGGACCACTGGCGGCAACCACGGCTGGAGTGGGGGTGTAGGCACAGAATAAGTTGAAAGGCAGAGGTTCAACTGAATTTCTGTGCGGGCAAGCAGTACATCTTTCTGATCAGCCAAAAGCAAAATGCACGAAATCAAAACTCTTTGGGCTTCGGGCTGTGACAGGAATCCAAAAACTGTGGATTGGACACGTCCACAAACAGGGATTGTGAAAATGCACTGATCCTGTGTATCACACTGACAGGCCCTGGCTAACGAAATGTGCATCAAGCAAGCAAAATCCACAACGTGAAAATGATTCCAGCGCAAAAACCTGAAAACCAGAGACAGATCCGGTGGAAAACTGTATGATGCTTGCAAGGCAATCCAAGGCAGATAGACTGCGAAGCTGCTGTCACGCCCCTTGCACGGGCGCCCATGCAACGCCCGGCTAAACGAGAAGCCCTTCTAAATTAAAAAGGCAACCCTCCATCCCACCACTTGAAATGTAAAAAAGCCACATAGGAGAAAATGAATTCAGAACAAGACCGTTCAGATGACACTTGGCAACTCAGACCTGTGGGTTGTTTAAATTCACCAACCATTCACCGACTATTTTTTACGACTACCATACTCAGAGCTGCTTGAAAAAACGTCTTTTTCGCTCTCGGGCCAACCGTCGTCTAGTTTGTCAGCATGCAAATCGGCTACCAAAACAACGAAGCAGTGACTTCTATTTGTCCGTGTGGTGCGATTTACGGGTCACCACACCCCGAAGAAAATGCCAGGGCTTCGCCCGGCCTCTCCTCCGGGGCGGGTGGGAAGGTAACCAAACTAGACAGTGCTCAAAACTTGAGCCCAAATCATAGCCGGACCCAAGCTAACCCTACGTTCTAGTGAACATGCGAGTCAGCATGCAAATCGGCTACCAAAACAACGAAGCAGTGACTTCTATATGTCCGTGTGGTGCGATTTACGGGTCACCACACCCCGAAGAAAATGCCAGGGCTTCGCCCGGCCTCTCCTCCCTTGGACTAGCCACTGCCCCAGGTTTTCCACATGCAGGCTAAATTAAATCCAAAGCTTATAAGACTGCTTTGGAGATTTGCCGGTTCAGTCAGGCACTCAGCAGGATCTGCCCGGTGTAGTCTCATCAGCGGCCTGCATTCCAGCTGCGGTCGTCCCATCGCTGCCAGCGGCCATCCCAGCCTCGCCACTCATTGGTTTTATTCCAATTCTCCCACCAGCCTTCCTCTTGGCGCTCTTGCCCTCCAGGCTTCCAAGTCCCCCAGCAATCGTCATCTTCTGCCTCCCTGCGCAGGGCTGGAGCAGCCCTTCCAGTCTTGCCAGCAGGCTGTGACCGACCTCTTTTTTCCCGGCGTTCGGCTTCCTTTCTCTCAAGCCATCCAGGTTGCAAGGTTCTGGCCTTCGGGTTGGTCCAGCTTCTTGGGAGGTCCTCAAAAGTCGTGCGGGGCTCTGAAGCTAGGAAAGCTTCATGGCGTGCGGCTCGCACCCTTCCCTTTTGCATCTTTGCAGCTTCACGGTGTGAAAAGCCAGCAGCCAAATCTGCCTCAAACTTGCCTTTGTGCACCTTTGGTCTCGCGGGCAGGAGGTTGAGGCGGAGCGCCTCTAATCTGGCACAGCATTTCTTCCACGCAGCTGTGCGCATTTGGCGTTTCACATCTTCAGGAGCCTCCAAGAAGACTTGCATGTTTTTTCTTGTCTCTTCAAGGACCTTCTCATCTTCAGCTCTTTCTTCCTCAGTGCGGTCGTCGTCAAAGTCAACCTCTTCTTCAAGGAAGTAAGGAGTGTAAGGGCTTTGGGCGGATCGCCCAGGTTGTGTGTTCGATGCCTCTTGTTTGGTAGTGTCTGCATGCTTTCTTGCGGCATCTTCCCTTGCTTCTGCGGTGGTCAACCTCTTGGGTGGCGGACCTGGCGGAGGAATGGGCCCATAGCTCACTGGTGGCCTTTGTGGGTTTGACTGCAATGGTTTGGGCTGCGGAGCAAAGCACCCTAGTGCCTGTGGCTGCCCGCATTCGGCTGGTATTTTGGGCGGAGGTGGTGCAAGCCCATGGTTGAGCCATTCGGCAGCACTGGCGTGAAATTGATACCTTGAAGGGCGACCCCCAAGGTAAGTTTCGGGCACAGGCTTCGGCAAACTCTCAGTGGCTGGTTCCTTATATCCAAGGTTGGGCGGATGGGCTGAGCTAGCGGCTCGGTGGAAAACCTCAAGGAACTGGTGTACAGCACTGTCTACTGCAGCACCAAATTCTTGCTCCTCTTTGTTTTCCATGCTCGTAGATGCTGTCCCGGGCTCATCCCACATCCCGTCATCAAAACCTGTAGGAGCGTGACATGGTGAATCTGAAAAATCGCTTTCCACTTCAACATACACGAATTCTTCGTCATCATCACGCTGCTCCCAAGTTTGTGAAGAGGCTGCAGTTTCAGAAAAAACTCTTCCGGAATCTCCCGTGTGTGCTGGGCGGTCCCACCTTCAGGTGGTGGTTGCTCCCGAGCAGGTTCTGGATCTTCCTCCAAAAATTTGCGCGGGGCACGCAAATCTTCTTTTCCACCTGCCCCTGAGTAAGGTTGCGACGCTCCGTGCTGTCTCCTTGAGACATGAGGTGGTTTGCGACGTGGATCAGCTTGTGGAGGAGGACCAGCAGGCTGAGGTGGCGGCGGTGCCTTTCGCGGCTTCTTTGGCTCTGGAGGTGGCGGTGGTGCTTTGTGCACTGGAGTCGCTTTCCGTGGTTTCTGAGATGGCTTAGCTGCAGTTGGCTTGCCATCAAAGCCAGGGGAAGCTGGCCTCGCACTTGAGGACGGCCTCGGAGGTGGCTGCTGTGGCTGGCCGGTCGGAAAGCCAGTTCCAATTTGATTGTAAGCTCCAGCTGAACCCTGCGCCTTGCTGGGCGGAGCACCCCACGGCTGAGCATACATCTGGGAGCAGCTTGATGGGATGGAACATCCCTTCTCGTCCTGTTGGCTCTCCACTGTGTGTATTGGACCCGCATGATCGGGTTCAGCAAAATATCCTTGGCTGCGCAAAGCATTTTGAACTCTTCTTCTTTGGCGGCTTTCTCACTCTCTGCAACCTTATCAGGATGGAGGGCCCTTGAGCGGCGTCTCCAGGCTGCCATAATGGACCTCTGGTCAGCTCCAGGCGAAAGGCCTAGGAAATTCCAGAGATCCAGGTCTGGGTTCCGGCAGAGGAAGAGGTTTGCCGCATTGAATTCGTTCGGTGGGGGAGCCTCCTCCATGCCGCCTGCTTTGGTTCCAAACCGCACCTTGCGGTCTGGAGCCCATGAGAACGCCCGTGGGGGGGTTGAACCAAAACGACACGAGGCGGGCTCAGGTTGCGAAGGTGCTGGAGCAGCACCGACAGCTGACTGCACATACCCTGGGGCAGTATTGACCGTTTGTCTAGCTTTAGGGTCTTTTTGACTGGGCATGGTGATGGTGTTGGAATGAAGCATTCCTGAAGATATGCCTTTCTGTGCAACATGATCTTCATACAAGTAAGCATGCACTGCGTTGGAAGTCCAACCACCAAACCGTTTCAGCCTGTCCAAATCCCCTGTAGTGGCAAAAAACGCCGTTGCCCCCCCTTTCCTTAGTGAGTGGGACCCCGCAAGTTCGCTTGGAAAGCCTGCTGCCAAGGCAGCAATTTTGACAAGATTAGTAATACTCTCCCTGTCAAAACCCGTCCCATTCTCCAGTCGGAAAATTGGCGCCTCCTCCTCGGAGCTTCGCCAACGATGTGGGAAAAGGGCCTGAATGGCGGCCAGCGCTTCGACCGGGCAAAGGTCCCCCTTGGAACGGTGGTGTGATCGTGCCTGCCCCCTACCATACTGGTCGTTTTTAGATGATTTCACTTGAACAACAACTTCATCAGCATGAACCCCTCGGCAGGATTTGCCTTCGTGGTAAAACGCTACATCTGCAGGGCGAAGCGCCCTATTCAGGGGGTCTGTCCCATCAACTTGGGGAAGAAGCTCGCTTGCCCGCATCATGAAAAACCAACCTGTCAAAAGGGCCCCTTTAATGATGACCTTATCCTTGGCCGAAAACCCACCGGCATCTAAGTGCTGGATGAGCCAGCGAAGCATGCTGGGTGTGACAGGAAGTTTGCGGGTGGGGGCACCTTCCCACCGTTGCAATCCTGCGATTGCTGCCCAAAGCCGGGGTCTTCCCACTAAAGGGTCTGGAAAACCCGATGAAATGTGCGCATATCTGATGGCAGATAATCTTTGACGGATTCCCCCAACTGACCTTTTCATGACCTGATGTAAAAACACCACGAACCTGATGAGTCTTTGCTCGTCTTCTTGGCGAGCGGAGCGCTCTTCCCCGTCAAGAAACAAAGGGGCCCTAGAACCACTGTTATACAGTACCCATTGTTTCCAGCCAGAAGCATAAACCCTTCTAGTTGAATCAGCAAGTTTTGCCATTACAGCCTCTAATGCCAACTGGCCCAACGTTTCCGCACCTCCCAGGCAAGCGTCCGGGCGTTTTTGCGGCAGGAGGTGGGGGCGGGCTGAATCAACCCCTCAAGGGTCGTTAGTTCAGCTTTGGACGCTCTCTTGCCCAGAGGACCCCCAACCTTTTTGTTTTCTTTTGAGCTTGAGCCGGCGCAGTGAGTAGGGGCTTGAAAGCTAGCTTTTTCTTTCCACGAAGTGAGGAACAGTTCCTGGGAAGGGTTCCTAGGGTTCCGTCCCCATGCCTTGAGCCAAACTTCGAGCTGCTCCTGTGCCTGAATTTCGTCAGGATCCAGAACGCCTGCTCGTTCAAAGGCCTGCCCGCTGACAGCTTGCAATAAGCTCTGCGCAGCCTGCCAGCCGATTTCTCGCACTGCTGCCCTGACTAGCAATGGCTTCTGGTCATCTGACGTTGCTTCCCATGATGTTTGATCTCCTCCCTGCATTTCCCATACTTCCTCGGGGAGCAAAGGGCGCACTGCCCCAGTGCCATCCTCTAGGAGGGTTCCTCCTGGAATCTTGAGAGGGTCTCCAACAAGCCTTGGGCCGCATGCAACTCCTTTGACACTGTGCACTAAGTACCTTGCGTTCGTTTCTTTGTCCACCACGTGGCCAACCGGCCTTGGAAGCCAAGGATCTCCAGTGGTAACGATCGTGGGCTCTCGGGTGAACATGAAGCGAGGGGGCAGCAGCCAGTTGGAGAGGAACTCCCCCGACTTGAGGGAGCATGCAGCAGGGGTTCACCTCAGCCACTTTCCAGCATCTCACCTGCTCCGCCCGATTGGCCGCGGCCCCATAGAGCCATATGCTTCTCTTTCGGGCAAAGAAGCTCCCTAAGTGATCAGTTTGGACAATTGCGTTGTGCAAAGGCCCGTGACGCCACCCCAGCTCAGTCAAGATCTGCTTGCTCTTCTGGCTAAGGCTTTGTGGGGCGTCAATGATGGCACCTTTTAATTGCCTAGCTTCTGCAAATGCCCTTTTCACGGAGCTGGCTTCTGTGCCAAGTGGGTCAAAGCTGATAGACGCGGTCAACCAGTTGGCTTCCTTGACTCTGGTGGTCGACCCGCCACCTCTGGCCCAGCCCAGCTCAAAACATGCCAGATGGTCACCGAACTTGATCTGGCACAGACCTCCTGTGAAAGGCTGTACTTGAGGGTTGCTGGGGAGGCCAAGACTTGCCCAATGGTCTCTGACAACTGAGCGGCGAGGGCGGCCGTTTCCCCCTTCTCGCGAGGCAGTCTCAAGGTAGGTCTCACTGCTCCTCGCAACATTTCCTCCCAATCCCCGGTCAGGGAGAGCTGGGTCCATCCCTGGGCTTTCATGTCAGCTTTGACCTTGCTCTCATCCTCACGAGTCAGCCAATCATTCAAGGTGTTGTGGTAGGTCCGCACAAAAACTCCCTCTACACTGAAGCCATTCTCAGCCTCCATTCTCTGTAGAAGAAGCAGTAAGGCCCGCACGTATCGGTTCTTGGAGCGACGTGATTGCAGCCATCCCCGCACATTTGAGGCCGGTGACGTACAAGATCATATCCCCTTGCCACGCGGTTTGACGAGAAGCCGCAAGCACAATGAAGGTCAGCAATTCATACACAGCAATGATCTCGAGGTGACCCTCGGTTCCCATTACCATCCTTAGTGCTGGGAGATAAGCTTTGCATGATCCCAGGTGGAACACCCGGTCCTTCCAGTCTGCGGCACCTAGTCGATCCAACGTGGCATCACCGCCAACGAATCGGGCCTTCGGGGCCATGCCTGGCAAGGCCAACCTTTCTCGGATGGGGAGTAGCTTGCCAAACGCCACCCTGAAACTTGAACCCCACGGCTTCTCCATTTGAAGCCTGACCCAGTCCAAAGCATCCCAGAATTCTTCCCACATGACGTGCAGCTCCTGTGGAGTTCCCCACGGCTGAGCGTACTCGTGGTCACATGGGAGCTGTTGCAGTGGCCGGTAGAACACTGGGAGGTATGGGACGAGCTCGGGGGCTGAGGAAGCCCAGTATTGCGCCGATCCTGCGAGCTCTCGGAGAAGTTTCACCTTTACTTGTGTGCAACCCCTTTGCAGGGAGGGTTCCCTCAGCAAATACTTGGCTTTCATGCGCTTGGGCTCGGGCAGTGTGACTGTCTGAGCTTCAAAATCGAGATGAAGCCCCCATAGCAGTTGAGATGGCGCCGGAATACCTTCCTCAGCCAATTTTTCCAAGTTGATTGCTCCTGGGCCCCACACGTCCATAGCCGCCAAAGATCGCTCGATGCGGTTTCCCACCACCGGCTCAACTACGACTCCATCATCCATCAGCCATCGGCTGGTATATGGGACAACATCATTGAAATGAGGCAAGCTCGGACGGAACGTCCCGTGGTGTTTCTGAGCTGCAGTGGCCCAAATCACAAACTCGCCCGGTGCACCTATACCCAGCCAAATACCATGACAAGGCTCAGCACAAGGATCCCGAGCAGCCGGGTACAAAACTCGGGCACGTCGGTGCTTTTGAGAAAATGCCACTTGAATGCCCTGGGTACGTCCCGTTTGGCACAGCGTTGTGGAACCTGCGGGTGACGCGATCGCCACCACAAGCTTTGTCGCAGAACCGCGCGATGTCTGGGTTGCGCTGCTGCTTAGATGTGCTGGGTGTTTGTTAACTAGTTGTAACACTTTGATGATGTTAACTATAGTTAGCTACAAGGTTAAAAACTTTAGTAACAAGTTTAACATAGTTAGGATAAGCATCTATAACTATTTAGGTTGCAGCTTAACAAGGTTAAGAAAGATAAGAAATACCTTTTTTTTAAAGTATGTTGTCAATAAATTTTGAAAGTGTTTTTCCAAAAAAGAAAAATGTATATTGCATAGTTGTATTTTTTGTAGACATGCAACAGATTTTTTCATGATTATGTTGGAATATGTTTTAAAAAAATCTATGTATCAATATATAAGATAAGCAAAATGTTTTTTTTTGCCTTCTTAAATTCAAAATTCCAATGTTCCATATTGTTGTGTGAAACTGTACTTTGAAAGTCATGAAACTATATATATTGTTTTAAAAAGAATAAGATTGATTTTTTTGGGAAATGAACAAAAAGAATTGCACAGGGCTGATGGCTGGTTGATTATAACAACATTTGGATGTTTGCAGATAGTTACATTGTAAGTTGAATACGTTTGATTTTCACATGCCAAGGTCACAGCAAGTCAAAAGCTCTTTGGTTTAAGCATGAATTTACACATGCCAGGTTTCAATAACTTGCAGCCTTGAGGCTCCAACACATGCAGCCCTGAGGCTCCAACACATGCAACCCTGAGGCTCCAACATCTTGAAGACAAGAAAACTCAACACATGCAGCCTGCAAGGCTCTTATTCTGGTTACAACAAGGAATTTCCTTGAAAAATGTTGAAGCTTGCCAGCCAGTGATTCCAAATGTGTGAGTGAAAATCCAGTGCCAAAGGTCTTATTAACATACACCAAACCCATGTGGCGCCTGGCACATCCAAATTCACTTTTTTTCAATGGTAGTGTGAACTCAGGTCAGGTGAGGAGGCAACAATGTAGTCACCAATCCAGTCTCAGCTTTGTTGAAAATGACAACAGCTGCCAAAAGGTCCAAACTAACAAGATGCAGTTCTGCTTCCTTTGGAACCCATTTGGCAACTTTTTTCTTCACATTGACTTCTTTCAAAGAAAAAGCCTTCAAGATGGCACAAGTCATGCCATCGCATTCCAACAAATACTCTAAATGGCCACTTCCAAATGGAAAAGCATCATGTTGTTCTGCAGGCAGTTTATAAAGCACACAATCCCCAATCTTGCAAATATGTCCAGATTTCATTCTGGCAGCATTGCTGGCTTGGCAAAGGTGATGGCTTTGGGCAATGCCTTGAGCAATCAAATAAGCTTTCAATTTATTGGAAATGGGATGTGGCTCCAAAAAATAAGCTCCCTTTCTGTATGCAGCTTCTTGTTTCAAATGTGCCAGGTGATCACAAGTCAGTTCTTTCAAGAGTGTGTCTTCATAGCGATTTGTGTTATACAATCCAGAGCCATATCTTCTTGCCACTTTGTGCTTCCTCTCCAAAGACCAACAAGAAGGCAGGCCATCAAATTGCTGTAGGGCTTGTTCAAAATGTAGACACCAATGAAATTTGGGCCTCATGCTTCCAGCCCAACCAGCAGCCTTTGTCAAGGCTAAAGCCTTCTCTACAGCTTGCTGCAATTGTCCAGGCTTAGGCAAATGTTGAGTCGAAGCCACCAACAAATCCAAGACATGGCACCATGCCAAATAGACTTGCTTTGGGACATCACATGCTGGTAGGACACAGCAAGTTTCCATAAAGTAAGCCAACACAGGGTAAATGGACAACATTTCTGATGCAGACAGCACCATTTTTTCATTCTTTTTGTGGGCCTCCACCTTCTTGGCTTGGAACAATTTGTGAAAAGCAGCACTTCCAGGTAAATTTCCAGGCCAAATCCACAGTTGTAAATATTGGCAGAAGGTGCTCCAAATGTTTGGCATGTCTGTTGCCATAGCTTCCAGGGCCCACTGCATGATGTAGCAAAGAACACCATTGGAACATAAGGCATGCATCCAGTCATGCACATAACCAGTGGCTGGTCTTAACAAACCCAAATCTTCCAAAGGTTTGCTCATCAGAAGTGCCTGGGGTGAAAATGTGAAGCCACAGGCTTGCTGCCACTTTTTGAATGTGGCTTTGTTTTCAGTATTCTTTTTGATTTCTAACCTTTTCCATGATTGCAATATCTCCTCATCACTGCAAATATCCAAATCTTCAAAGAGAAGAAATTTGGAAGTGATTTTGTAATCTTCTTCCAAGCTGCTGTTGCCCTGGCTCACTCCAAAAACATTTTTGCAAAGCTGACACAATCTGGAGCCTGTATCTTGTCTGTTCATAAAAGTTTGCCTTTGTGATGCTCCATCCTGCAAATGAAAGCCCAAAGTCCAAAAAAGTCGTAAGCATTGATCACCTCTCTTCAAATGTATTCCAGCCAAGGGTGACCCATGTTCATGCAGGAACATTCTCTCCAACAATTTTCTGACCAATTGTGAAATACCAGCTTCAACATTGGAAACTTCATTGCTTCTGGCAGCCATCAAAGTGAACCAATTTTTTTCATCAGTCAACACATCAGTACCCAGCTCAAGCCAGCTGAAATAAAGACACCAAGTCTTTCTAGCTGTGCTACTGAGTTGGTTTCCAGGGTGCAACTCATCTGCATACAGAATGCCTTGCCATGGTCTTTGGAAACTGGATGGCCTTTGGTTGTGCTTGCCAAGCAAAAGCTGAAAGAAATATCCTCCTTCAGCAAACATTCCTTGTAGAAATGTAGGCAAGTTGAGCATAGGAATTCTTTTCCTTCCACCAGAGATGGTAATGACTTCCACATCTTCTATCAATTGTCCATAACTGGATAAGTCTTGCAAAGTCACATCCACAGCTTGCTTGATGTTCTTTCTGCTATGAAGTTCAGGACAGCCTTCCTTTTGCACCAAATTTAAAACTTGCTCCAAAGCTGAACAACTCAAGTATGGTAACTTTCGCCTAAAGGTCTCTAACCTTCTTAGCTTGGCAGCTCTGGTGTTCTCATCTTCCATCTATCCATGGCTGGACCCAAAGTGTGTTCTGATGTTGGGTTAGCAGTTGTCTAAATTTGAATGTCTCTCATATCTTCTGAAAAAAATGTTTGTTCTGGTACATGTATATACATAAGTCATCAAGCTATCATATTTTGCACCTGTGAACAAAATAAATCATGAACTGGCAGTCCTTGAACCATATGGTCTAGCTGATGCAACCACAATCAAAGTTGGTTCAACATAGTGTGGCAGGCAACCAGCCTTGTGCAGGCTCCAAGTGACAAAAGCAAATAGCCTTTTGGAGGCTCCCTATACCCAGAGCACCCTGAGCTGTCTTGACCTTTTTTTTCCCACAGTTCAGATCACAAGTCTTCCAACATGCCTTGCTTGAGCAAAAACACTGTGCAACCTTAGTGGCTACATCACTGCCATGACATGGCAGCCCTGCACAGATTTCAAACAAGCTTCTATTTGTAAATCTTTCCCCTCTTTGCTTGGTCCTTCTTCCACTTCAAGTAATCTGCTCTTCCATGGAATCTCTGGCCCTTGAAGGTTGGATTACGACATGTTTCACATCCAGCAGCACTGCCTCTGCATCGGAGGCAACCCAATATCTTTTTCTTAGAGGCTGAGCTTTTGCTGGTGGAGCTTCCTTTGTTCTCACCAGAAGCTGGTTTGGCAGCTGGCCTTTTCATAGAGGTTTGGGGAGCTGACACTTTGGCACTTGCAGGTCTCTTCAACAAGATGTCCATGGCTTCTTTCTCATAATCTTCCAACCCTTTTTTTTCTTTTGGCTTTGTCTGACAATCATCCATAGTGACATCATCCATAGTGACATCATTGCTTTCTTCATTGTTTTTTTCTTGGTTCACATTCTCTTGGTCCAAAGGCTTGCCATTCTTTCCAGGCTCATTGGTCAATGCCAATGCCCTTTTTGGAGGTGAGGATGCCTGGCCCATCTGTTGCTTCTCTTTCATGATGTCCAATGCACTCACACTGGATGGCAATGCTTTCTTTGGACTGGCCTGCTGGTTGAAGAAGGTCAGCTTCATGCCTTGGGCAGAAGAAGCTGAAGGCTCTGCCAAGGGCTTGTGTACCAAATCTCTCAAAGCCTGCATGAAGTCAGCAGGGAATCCATGAGCTGAAGAAGATTGCTTCCCTTGCAATCTTGTCCTGGAATTCTTGCTCAAATTCGAGTTTGTGCTTCTGACACATACCTGACTGGCAATTTCTGGGAGTTGAGGCAAAGTTTTGAGACTTGGCTTTTCTTCACCATAGACTTTCCCTAACCAATCTTGTCCCAGGTCTGTGGGCAGCTCTGGGTAAACCTTCAGAGGTGCAACTTTGGATTGAATTTTGCTGGCTTGAAACAAGCTGGTGAATTGCGTAGCCAGCATGTAGGTGTAATCACCATCTGGCATCTGCATCCCATGCCACAACATAGATTGCACTAGCAAGGCCACACAATACCTTTTGGTATCTTCTTTGATGGAAGTCAATCCCAACAACCTCAGCCTTTGTACAATCAAGTGTGGAGCTTTGGTAATCTCTCCAGTCATAAGTTGCTGGATCTCAGCTTCTGTCAGGTAGGCAGGAACATTCACCAAGCTTTGAGGGCTTTTCACTATCTTGCTTCCCTTGGATCCTTCTCCTCCTTCAGCAGCTCTTTCCATGATTTTGTCTTGAAGCCATTGCTTCTTGGTATCTTCCAAAGAACTCTTTGTGATAGCCTCCAGCATGCTGACATAATCAGATGCCAACAAATTGGTGCTGCAGTCAATCTTCTTCAGCAAAGCTACCAACAAACTCTCTTGTAGTGCAGGTGCACTCTTGAAAGCCAGCAACTTCTCAACATCTTGAAGCTCCTTGATAAAGTCTTTGGATGTCCAAGCCATGGCAGAAGTCTAGCAATGGAAGCAATATTGTATTTGTTGTGATTGTTGGTAAATTTGATTTGGTTTTCATGCCTAGATTGATTTTTGCAATAGACATTGTGGAGCAGCCATCTCGGGATATCTGTTTGCAACCAAAACATATCTGCAGCAGCAACAGTGAGGAAATCAAGTAGCCAATAATGGCTCACTGCAAGAACATGCCATCATAGGAGCACAACTGACCAAAATCCAAGCTCTATGCAGAATTATGTTTCAATCCAGCATTTGTATGCTCTCAAACTGTTAAGTTGCCAAGCATGCAGCCAATGGCTCATCTACAACTATAATATGTGTATATATGAAATAGGATTGTTTAGTACTCTGGTAATCAGAATAGAATAAAGAAGAAGAACAAAACATATATTTAATTTATAGATTTGGTACATGCAGTTCCAAGAAAATGTGATAATTGTTATGTGCACATACAATGACTTACAATCAAGATAGTATATCTATATATGTACAAAAAATATATGTATATATTTTAGTACAAAATGAATTATATTTGAATATTTAATAGTGTCTTATATTATATCAAAGTTTTGTTTTACTTGTAACTTTATATATATATATATGTAATATTTAACTTAGTTTACTGAATTAGTAATTGAATTACTAAATATTAAATTCAACAAATTGACTTGATGTTTATAGTATTTGAAAATGAACTTAGTGAACTGAATTGGTTTTTAATGTATTAAGATCAATTCAGCATATTGAATTGGTTTGCAAAATATAGCAAAACCAATTCAGTGTACTGAATTGGTTTGCAAAATATAACAAAACCAATTCAGTGTACTGAATTGGTTTGCAAAATATAACAAAACCAATTCAGTGTACTGAATTGGTTTGCAAAATATAACAAAACCAATTCAGTATACTGAATTGGTTTGCAAAATATAGCATAACAAATCCAGTGTACTGAATTGAAGTTGTTTATACACAATATCTAAGTCAACAAACTAAAATGATTAATTTTAAATCCATGCTGCATATATTGCAGTCGAGAATCTCTTCTACATCTGCTCCAAACAGAAAGAACAACTTGTCCACTGGCTCAGTGATGGGGAAGCACTGGAAGAAACAATTCCACTTAGCCATGTGGAATGGAGTGTTCAGCTCCTGCTTGGTCTCTGGGCTCATCTGTTTAAAGGTATCCATGGCTGAGTGGGCGGAAGAATTCGTGCTGGAATCTTGTACATGTGATGAAGCATGTCATTGATGCCAACTCTTGTTCATTTACTCGCATCACATTCATTAGTACTCTATCATTCTTGAACCAAGAACTGAAAATATAAAACAAAATGAATGCTAATGTCATCCATGCAAAGTCATGTCAACAAACAACCAAACAATTCAAGTTCAAGCAGCCATTAATGGCTCCATGACAAACCCAAACCATGTGTTTCCATGATCAATCAGCCTCCAGGGCTCCATGCACTGACAGGTAGGCAGCTTCCTATCATATATTAGTTTGCAAACCTTGCATTATGATTTATATTTTTTTATTCATTGATTTGCTATAGTTACAAAGAACCAACATCAATCACTTCTGGTCTTGGCAGGACACATCCACCCAGCACTTTTTCTCAGGATTCTTGGCAACATGCTGTGACATATTTGCAAAAAAGACCTCTGGTGGAATGTTCATCACCAGGATGATTGTCTCAAATCATTTAGTCTGAGCACCAAGGGAACATGCTGTCAAAACCACGGGTCCTCAGAGTATAGATATGGTTGTCAACCAAGGTCCTCATCTGTGGATCCTGCAAGTACCTGAACTGACATCCCCATTGGGTCAAGACAAATTCTATTCACCATTTTTTCTCATTTATTTGTCAAGAAAAAAACTAAAATCATCACCAAGTTGCAAAGCCACCAGCTGCTCTGCCTTCTGCCAATCCTGCTGGATGTAAGCCTCAGGGATACAGCTTGAAGGTTTGCAAAATACATTACACACAAGCACAACATGAACAACACATGCAGCCCACAGGGCTCAACATGCACCATGAATGCAGCTGGGCAACTGCCAGCAAAGGAACCATGTAGTTCTTCCATCCAGTGGGGACTTTGGCTCCAGACTGACCTGCAATCCACTGGGCAGAGGGTGAAGACTTTCCCTTGCCCTGCTCACCTTCCTCAGCAGGCTTACCTTTGCCATAAGGCCCAAGATCTGGCACTCTTGGAGGAGGAGGTGGCAATAGTGGCATGCCCTTACCTTCAGCACAAACAGAAGATGGTGCAGGCTCCAGCAAGTCCTGGCCATGCTTCTTCTCAAGGTGTTGTTGCAGTTCCAACTGCAGTTGATCAGCCTGCATCTTCAACTTTTCATTCTCCTGCTTCAAGTTTGTGTTCTCCACCTTGAGCTCCTGGTTCTGTCGCAGCACAGCTTCATACCTTTGCAGGGGTGAGTAAGTCATCTGGGGGACAAAGACACTAGCTCCAGTCAGGATCCAATTGGCTGCTGTCTGGCTCTGGTGCGGTATGAAGATGTCACCAGAAGGAGACATGTTGACATCTGCAATCCTTGCCAAGCACCTCAGATTGCTCCAGCTGCCACCATCCTCCACATAGTGATCGCTCACATACCAGCAGGCTTGCTTGGGCCCATGCTTGGTGTACCACATCCAAAGGTCCTGGTCCACCTTCTTCAAGGGATAGGTCCCATTGACCATGAAGTCTGCCAACTTCCAGGTCCCAGTGAGCACTTTCGAGATGCTCCTTGGTTTGTGCAGAAGTGAGACTGCTGAGGATACTACCTATCATTATTGTCAACCCAACCTACTTACAATCAAGCAGCTTACAACAAGATCATGAAATCAAACAGCCCTGAGGCTCCATGCCACCAAACATGAATTGCAAGCATAAACCATGGACAACCTAATGAGCAGCCTTACAAGGCTCAAGCCTATCCATGCAATTAAACTGCCAACTGTTCCATATGTTCCTATGCACCATGAGGAAACATAACCTTCAGCTATACAATACAAATTTTAGCATATATTGAACTTCATATTCCACACAGCCACAGACAATTAGCATCTTTTTTGACCCAGCCATTGCCCAAGACATTCTAGTCAGAGATAGGCTTGACAAACTTACCACTCTTGTTGTAAGATCTCTTTGCACCTTCTGCACATGTGGAGCAGTCAGCTTCCAAATATTCCAAACATTTCTGCACATTGGAAGCTTCTAGAAGGATAGCCACATCAGCATGTTTGCTGGAAGGCCACATGGCAGTCAAACTTCCAAAGTCATCTGGCAAAGTCACCACAACAGATGCCTCTGATAATTTCCCACATTCTTTCTTCTGCTTCTTCTTTGGTCTCTGCTCTTCACTTCCAAACAATGACTCAGCACCTTCTCCTTGGCCTTCAGCCATGGTCTCCTTCTCCAAGCTTTCGGCATGTACCAAGGACACCAAATTCATGAGCCTTGGTCCTGCTGACAAGGACAAATTCTTTTTCTTGCAATCAGGACACACCAGCTTGGTTATGCTGTGGTGAGAAGGTCGAAGCTTCAGAAAGGTCTGGTTGTCAGCATTGGTCAGCAGCAAATCTTCAGGGATCACCACATTGATGCCTTTCCATTGGATGGCTGTCAGCTGCTTGATTTCCAAGGCCATGGGCAAGGAGAGGAACAGCTAAAACCTTTGGGGCAAATTTGAGAAGCCACATTGTTTCCAAGTGCAACATGCAATGACAACCATGGCAATGTACAAAGGACAATACACAAAAGCAACATCAAACAGCCTTCCAAGGCTCTCACACACACAGAGATTCCAATTCATTTGTGCTGATGTTGTTTTCTCATCTTCCTCTGTCCTTGCAATTGGTGAAACTGTGAAACATCATCTCTTGGCTTTTTTGCCACTGCTACTTTTGGCAGCTGCTCCAGCAGTGGCACCTGACTCTCCTTCCTTCTTTTTTCTTTTCTTGGCCAACATCTCTGACTCACACAACAGCAAATCTCCTGGCTCCAAATCTTTGGTATTCACATAGCAAGGCAGCTCCAAGCTGCCACATTGTTTCTTTTCCAATTGCATGTTGACCAACTCCTCATCCATGGTGGGCTTCACATACCAAAATGGTACAAGTACAGTTTTGTCATCCACCTTGTCAAATTCAGAGATCATCTTGGGGGCATTCACTCCAAATTTTCCCACCATGACTTTCACCTTGTCTTTGTCCTGGTCCTTGACATGGAACAAGGATCCATAAGGTTTGAGAACCAAAGATCCAGCAGCAAAATGCTGCAGGGCACAGACTCCCACTGGATTTGCCACAAAGCCAATTGCTTTGGCATTTACAGGGCCAGTCATGAAAGCCTTGTGCAATTGCATCTGGGTTGAATGCAATTGGATGCTTTCTTGGATACCAGTGTGCTTGTACACCAGCTGCTTTTCCGCAATGTCATCAGCCAATAGAATTTGCATAGTCTTCTTGCTTTTTCTCCAATCTTTCAATTGATCTCCCAAAGGCACCACCAAGGTATCAGCAGCCCCAACCAGTGGTACATGTTCAAACCTCAGTGGACCAAGGGCTTGCGCAAGTTGTGGAAAAGTAAGCACCACCCCCAAAAAGCAAACTTTCACCCCAAAAATATCCAAGGAACTTAGCTCCAGCAAGGGTCACTTCCATGAGCTGATAAATGGTGCTGCCCACCTTGGGATTCTGGTAATTGCTCCCAATCTCCAGATGTTGGTTCTGCAGCAATGCCACTGCAACAGGATCAGGCTGCAACAAGTCTTGGAAAGCTTCCTGGCTTCCTGCTGCACCAGGACTTGGTGCATCACCACTGTCTTGACTGGAGATGTCAGGAGGGCAAAGCATTTCAGAAGCAAATTGGTCTCTGATGTCTTCCAAAGATTTCCAGGTCTTGCTCTCCCTGCCCATTTTTTGTTTCTGGCAAATGAAAAGCACCACTCTGATACAAAGACGACCAAAAACATGCAGCCTCTTCAGCTCTTCCAAGTGTTTGGCCTTTTCCACTAAAGACCAACTGTTTGCTAGCAATTTCTCTGCATCTTGGAGCTCAGCTTTGCATTTTGTTTTCAAGCGATCAAAATCACTCTTCACCAACAGCTTGCTGATCTTGTCCACAATCTTGCTGGATGTCAACTGAGCAGCAAGCACAGCCACCCTGAAGCATGGCAATAAATTGCCACTGACCTTGAAGTCATAGTGAGTCAACAGCTTCATGAACTCTTCACCCAGCAAAGCGCTTTCTCCAAATTGTTTGCTAAAAGCAACCAGAAAGGTTGCCAGGGGCATCTGCTCTCCCCCAGTGTACAATTTAGCAAAGTGTGCTATTTCATCCAAATAGTCTTTGCATTGAGGCTCACCCATGGCAGTCTGGGCCACAGCAGCTTCCAATGTCTTTCCCAACTGGATATATTTACTGATGGTGGCCAAGCATTCCAACTCAGTGGCAGCCACTTGTGCACTGTTGCTGCTGTTCAATGCAGCAGAGTACAGCAAGGGCAGTGTAGGGAAATTTTCTTCCAAGCATTCAGACAAGATCAACCATTTCCAGCCATTCTCCAAAATGCCTTTCAAAGATTCATTCGAAACTCCACACATGGCTTTTGCCTTCAAAAAACTGGTGCTGTGTGAAGCTCCAACTGTCAAGTACAGTTCATCTCCTTGGACAGGTGCCAGAACCTGAGGAAATTGCTCCACCAGCACCCTGTTGGCTTCAATTTGCTCTTGCCTTTTGGCCATCTTGCTAGACAGGCCAAAAGCCACTGAAGAACTTTCCAAGAGATCCTGTCTGAACCCCTGGCTCATCAATTTTTCACCCTTTGCTAAAACATCATGCCCATTGAGCATTGCTCCACCGCGGTTACTAGGATGCACCAGGAGTTTGCCAGGAGGGACAACTTGGTGGGATGCAAGGCCATGCTTCAACCAAAGCTGGTTCAGCAGCACCATCTTCAAGTTCACTGGCTCATTGGAACCAATGATAGCAGCAGCTTCAGCTTTCACTGGATCACTCAAAGCCATGGCGTGTGGCTGTGAAACTCAAAGCAAAATTGTGGCTGTATAGATGTGGTGCTGTGATGTCTTTCCTGTGCTGCTTACATCTAGACATGTCAAATTGACACCAAGTTATGTTTCCTTCCTGTGGACAAAAAACACATGTAAAGCAAGTATCAAACAAGCTCCAACCATGGACCATGCAGGAAAACAGACTCACACAATGTCCATGTGCAAGAAACATGCAGCCATGAAGGCTCAACCATGGCAAACCAACAAAGTGCAAGAAACATGCAGCCATGAAGGCCCAACCATGGCAAACCAACAAAGTGCAAGAAACATGCAGCCATGAAGGCTCAACCATGGCAAACCAACAGACATGCAGCCATCATGGCTCAACTTATTGCAAGCATACAGCAATCCAGACCCAACCTATGCAAACAGCCATCAAGCCTTCAGGCTCAACCTATACAAATTGTCAAGCATTATACTTAGTATTTGAAAAAAACCTTTAGCAAGTTTAGCTACTTTAGCAAAAACTTTAACAACTTTAGCTAAAGCTTTAATTTTCCCTTAATTTTCCTTAGAAACTTTAACATGTTTAAATAATTTACCTAATCCTTTCACACATTTAACAAATTTATAAGAAGTTAAGATATGGTTACATATGACTTAGATGTGATTTACAATACGTTAACAAACATCACTAACTACTTAACAAACACCCAGCACATCTAAGTGGTGGGTGATCATATTTTGATCCCGAAGCATTCCGCCCTCTCATGTCATTGATGGGCCTCCCTTCCTTCGAAATAGTCCGGTCTGGGTTTTGCTTTGGTACCCTGCCCAATGGGCTCTCTGTCACCCCGCTGCGGACTAAGACTTCTTCAATGGCCTCATTTTCTGCAGCATCAGGAGTTTCGTTCGAGCACAAAAGCACGGCCCCATAGGATGCATCCTTCCATGCCTTTTCCAGCATTTCTTGCTCGTAGCCTCGGACCGAGCCGTGATTTTTGGCGCGCTCTCGGACTGGAGCAGTCCTTGCCCGACTCGGGACTCCCTGCACGACACACTGCTGGAGATACGCAGCATGGTTTTGCGAAAGGCCTCTCAGCTTCCCATCTTTTGCATGTGCCAGGTGTTCCCCTGTTCGCTGCACTCTAGCAAGGTTGACCATACGGGCAGCCTCCGGCACGGACCTCATAGCAAGCAGCATGCGCAGCTCTCTTCACAACTTCTTCAGAGTATGGCTCTTGGCACACATCCAAATAGGTCTGGGCCAATTGCTCAGGATCCGTGGCAGCTCCAGCTCTTACCGTGTGGCTACCGTCGCTGGGTCCAAACCGGGTATTTGGCTCTTGTCCCCCAAACCGGATATTTAACTCTCTTCCAGCCTTCGGCTCCTGCTTGCAAATGGGATCAAAGTCTGAACTTGAATTTGAACCGCCCCCCCCCGTTGAACCGTCCCCCCCCGCATCACAGGTTGCGCAGGCAGGGGCGGCGGGTGGGAGATCGGCCCAAACGTGCGCCAAGGCACGCAAGGAGTGACGTTCAGCAATGTAGGTTTGCCAATCCCAGTCTTCGTAGGCTGCTTTGACCACGAGGCCCCACGCAGCACACACACTGCTGGAGCATAGCGGCGAGCCGCGGAGTGCAAAGACGTTGGGCAGGGAGCTAGCTGCGAGGAGCCCGCTCGAGCCAACATCAACAGTGCCCAGGGGTATAGCTCCTGGGAAACTAACCACCAGGACCGGTGCGGAGACGCGCCTGTGGTGAAAGGGATGATGCGGGCTCCCGTTTGGCTGCGAAGCTGTTGCATGCAAGGCAAATCCCAAAGCGTCGGGTACCGACCAGTCGGAGAATCACCTTCAATGCAAAACAGGCGACCATTGGCTTCCAGAACATGGCAGAGGTCGGCAAGGAATGCAACACCGGCATTGTCTTCCACTTCCAATGGACGGGAACCGTCCCCTTCCACCTTCTCCCACGTGCGGGTCCCGCTGGACACTGTGCTCCGCGACTTGCATGGCACAAGGGATGCCTTGGTAGGTGAGGCCCTGTGTCCACCCACCTCCGCCCATGGAAACTTCTTGCCCGAGTGGTCCATAAGCAAAGGACAGCCGGTGTTGGAGGGAAGGGGCAGGCAGTGCAGGATGAGTGTGGAAGCAATCTCCCAAGGAGGCAGGTGGCTTTGGTGTTGATTGACCAACACGATAGGGGCGTTTCTGTTGCTGCGCGCACCTGGTGCAGGTGCAGAATATCTTCGACCTGACCACGGTCGAGAGATTCTTGCCAAGGTTCTGTCGCCAACTCACGTGTGATCTTGCTTCGCTCCCGGAGCTTGGACAGGAAGGCATGAGGGTCGCGGGGCTGGAGTAGCCGCATATGGCTTCGGTGAATGGTGACAATCACCAACCGCTCGGAGTCCTCACCACTTCCATGGAGGAGGTCTGCTTCCAGTCGCCCAAAATAGGAAAGCCGAACTACCACCAAAGTTGTGCCCCGCAGGCTGTCTCCAGCGAGCGACAGCAATGTCCTGTAATCCTTTTCGTGGTGTGGGTAAACACAATCGTGGACGTTCTGCCTCAGGAAATGCTCAGTCTCTGTTATCCAAGCGGGTGGATCACCCAGGTGTGCATGTGCAGACGCTGCCTCTTCCCACAAAGTGTGCCGTAGTTGAGCTGCAGACTTTCTGGCTTTTTCCTCGCTGACTGTCGGGTCAAAAGCTTTTGCCAGACCAATACCCACATGCAAGGGAAGGCATTGCCGCTCTTCAAACTCCTGACCGTCCCCAGTGGGAACGCCAGTCTCCACTACTGAGAGTTTGTCCTGGTAGTCAACGTAAGGAATTGGAGGAATTCCGAGCTCTGCATCCAGACGGAGCTCACCGACGCCAACGCCTTCACTCCAAGAGGGCGGTGTGAATTCTGCATCTGCACGATGCCCGGCCTTTGGCTCGTACTTCAACGCTTCCAAATGGCGACATGCTTCCTCTGCTAGCGCCGGATGACCATGCTCCGCAGCTGTTTCAAGGCAGGCAATCAAATCCAGTCTCTCACCAACATCTTCGGCCGCAAGAATCCTGGCAACCACATGAGATTGCAAGTAATCTGATGGATCGTGGAGTTGGGCAAAAAGCCCGTTTGCGAGCAACTTCTGCCAACGCTGCATCCGGTCCAACTCCTGTGTAGACAGCTCGCTATCTGGAGGGGAGCCCTCCTCTTCACACTCCTGCGGCGGCAGTTCAAGCCACGAAAGATCAGGGCCTTTTACTGCCTCTTGCAGGTCATCTTCCATACGCGTCAAAGGAACTTGGTAGTCGGCAGGAACTGCCCATTGCGTATCGCCGGCCTTGTCCTCTTCGCCTGGCTCAGAGCCGGATTGCCGGCTTGCCTTTGTTTTTCCCTTGGGCTTGGCTTGCGCTTTGGCCTTGGGCTGTTGCATTTTTTCCAATTTTTCGGCTGCTGCTTGGGCTCGAAGTTGTGCAATCCGGCCGTCAACCTCCTTCGGGTCAATCTTGGGACCGCCCTTCAAGCCTCCCCGTCGGATGACTTGCATTGCTACACTGTAATCCAATTTGGCCAGACCTGGCAAAGGCTCATGGGCGTGCTGGCACTTAGCCCCTTTGGGGCACCCCATATGCGTGGCTGCATCCCAACAGATGGGTTTGCTTGTTTTCGGGTCCTTAGGGGCATGCTCAATGGAACGAGAAGCTTCAGCTGGAGTCAATCTCTTTCCCGCAGGGTATGCGCCCTTTCCGACCAGGGCCGCTCCACCTGCTTCCTCTTCCTTCAAGTTGAGCTTCGGAGCCTTGCCCGATTTGTCAGCGTTCTCGTCGGGAAGGTCTGACATGCCTGCAGTCTTCTTTTGCTTCAGATTGTGGTCGTGAAGCTGCTTGTGGAGCAACCTGGACATCTGCCTTTGTTGGCGAGGGACAACCACCGACTGGTAGTAGCCTTCTGGGTCTGACAAATCCCAGATTCTTGGGAATTGGAAGTTAGCAGTGCCATCCTTTCCCGGGGCCAGGGCATAAAGCTTTAGGTCTTCCAGTCTTGGGTTTTCCGTGCCTAAAGCAGCGCAAAGCTTTCTCCTACTTTCTCGGAGCTCTTCGCACCAAGCAGCCACCAACTCTTCAAACAATTCGATGCAATAACTGGCTGGGAAGGCGTGCTCGTCCTCCTCATGGGCTTCCTTCAAGGCCTGGAGGCAAGCTACTCGTTCTTGCACATGTTCAACACCATAGCACGCACCAAAAACTCGGATCGAGTTCTCTGCATAGCGGAGCCACGTGTTGAAAACCCCTGGCGGTCTGTTGCGTGGTTCGAGTTTGTTATCAGAGGAGGGGGTCCAGCTATCGAGTTGCTCGGATCGAGCAGTTATGCAATCGCTGGCATGCAATGTGTAGCTTTCTTTTCCTCCCCACCAGAGCCCGGCAATGGCCAACAGCACCCTGTTCGTCATGAGCACTGGCCACTTGATCAAGTGCAACATGTGGCGGGCATGTTGGGCCACGCGTTTTCCTGCGTGGAATAATTCTTTCCCATAGACTCCAGGAGCAAGTAACTTCAATGGTGAGCGTACCGCATCCTCTTGCCAAGTAGACGTCCATCTTTTCTGCTTCTCGGATCGAGGAGAGGCTGCCCTTTGTGAGATTCTTATCATCATCTTGAGCTTTTCTCAAGCCATCGATGGCATGAATGATGCGGTCAGCGCTCTGTGATTGGCTCCCGTCGCCAAGTGCCTCCGCATAGGTGGCTCCTACCCTGCCTTCGGTCAAGGGGTTGTTGTGGGCTGGCTTGATGAGGCCTCGCCCACCTCCGTTGTTTTTTGGGAACAACGATGTTCCAGTCTCTCTCCCTGGCATGATTTTCAGCAAGGGGTTGGCTGGTCTGGTTGTCGCCGGTTGGACCAGGAGGGAATTGGCAGGCCTGTTTTCAGCGCACCCTTCGGTGAGGACCTCACCTGACCCAGTTGACTTTTCGACCGAAATTTGCCCCATCAGCAGGTCTGCCGAGGGATCTCCCAAACCAGGTGGGGACAGCACTTGGGGTCGCTTTGCTGCTGGTGGCTTGAAGTCCTTAGTGAGCTGGTCAGGCTCCACTCCAAACGCCGATGCAATTGTTTGCAATGTCTCTTCATCCAGATCTTTGGCGTCATGCTGAAGGACGGCGAGCTTGGCATCTTCAAGCGCTGCTTGACATTCATCCTCCTGTACATCCGGAAAAGCAGGCACAGGTGGCCAATCTCTGCTGGTGGCATTTTTCTTTTCAGGGCGAGGCGGCGTCATAAAGTCCAGCTCTCCAACGCTTTTCATGGGTTCCTGGAGATACGCCTCCGAATGCGGGAGGATCTCCCGCACAGGCCGACTCGCCCATTGCGCCTCTTCCCTTTTTGTCCAGATCGGATCGCCGCTTGTGATCTCCCCCTCCCAGGTGCTGAGGACAGCTGCTTGATCTTCCGTGATCCGGCTGGCCAACACCGATATGCCTCTCCCAGCTTCATCATCGTGGGAATGGCGGAGAAAATTTTGCACCCAGTTTTTGCTAATCTTGCCCGCCCCGTTGTCAGCTGGAGGTGGGAGAACGGACTCACCTACAACAGTGGCTTTGGTTTTCAGGCCCGGCAGGTGGATGTCGACCCTTTCTTGATTTCGGCCAGCTTGAGAGAAACCTTCCACGCTCCCCAGGAAGAGGAAGGCTACCATAAGGATCAAATAACATAAAATTTTATATATATATATATAAATTAAATAATACATAAAAATTATGTATTTACATAATTTTTGCATATATGCAATTTTTATTTTTATTTTAAAATATATATAATTTTATTAAAATACATAATTTTTATTTTATATATATATATAAATTAAATATATATAAAATAAAAATTATATATATAATTTTTATTTTTATATAAAATTAGTTTTATTTTGATTTTTGTGAATTTTAGCATAACACATCAAATTTATTTTCAAAACTTTTTGCGAATATGTATTCAAAATCTTTAAAAAAGTATTGATCATTTCGCGGCATGCAACCTTTTTTCATCTTGGATTTGTGTGCAGGATGAGGACCTGCATTGCTGCAGCTGTATCTATTTGTCTGCAAACTCACTCTTGAATGGCAATGTTCAGCGATGCTCCAGGTGCAAAGCAAGACGGTATTTGGTTATGGCCTTGTGCACAGCTGTGATCGGTTTGGCCGACTGAACGCACTTGATCATTAATTGTTTGATCTTGCCCATGAGATCCTCTTGCTGCATGCAGGAGGTCAAAGCAGGATTTATTTCGTTAGCTCGCTGTGCCAAGTGGAACAAATCATGGAATTTCTTGGTGATGCAAAAATAATCTCCAAGTAGACCCCATGCAGTTTTCACCGCTTTGTAGAGAGCAATGAACTCTGTAGCCACCGACTGAAGCCGCCGAGCCACCTCAAATTGTCCAACCGTGCATATACACACGCATATAAACAGAACAAAATGAACGAACGCTGAGTATCTGAAAAGAAAAACATATGTATATATATATATATAAGTCGGGGCGCCTGATCGTCAAGCCGCGGAACGTCGGGATGATCAATGATCACTTGATCATATTCGCATGATCTTTCCAGCAGCATTTTGATCAAAACGTCGTTTTTGTCGCTATAATTAGTTTTAGCGGCCCAAAGGTTGCAAATCGGTTGGGTGAGCGCACGTACCTCCACGGCTCTGCCTCTGAGATTAGGCCACTTCTTCTCTGTACCAGCGAACTTGAGCTTTGTCAAGTTGTGAATAAATGTTCTCATTGAAGTAGGAGCATACCTATATATAGTCATGCACAGAGCCATATATGTGAGCATGCATATGACTATTAAGTGCAATCGTGCACACAAAATACATAAAAATATAAATTATTGCAGACAGAGCACGATGACAGCTCTTCACATAGTTGTTGCAAATTGTCATATTTGTGCTCCAACAAAATTGTCAGGACACCGCCCAACAAATATTGGTCAGTGCCTAACCACTTTGTATGCATGATGTCCGGGTTCAAATGCAACCCTGTGAGGCCTGGCACTTGCCATAAGCTGATGGTTCTAGGAATTCTAATGAAGCGTGCTTTCCATTCTTGCGGTGACATGATGTTTGGATGTTTCTGTCTATCGATGTCGAATAAGTTTTCCCTTGAAGACATACAATTTCACGGAAGGCCTGCTTTTCGTAGAGAAGAGATTCAACCTCGCTTTTGACTGCTGGAAGCCATTGTTGCCAGTGATCTGAAACTTCCTTTGACGACACAATTCGTGTCTGCAAGATTTCCTCCTCCTCATTTGGCATAGGCGCCATCTTTCGGATTTTGGCCAAGATTTCAAGCTCTCAGGGTCGTCATCGGCCATGTGACACATCTCCTTCTCTATCAGGCGGAGCATGCAAACTCTCCGCTTTTTCTCCTCTCTTTCTTCTGTATCCTCTCCATCCTTCTCTTGAAGCTTTCTTATCGCTGATTTCCCCCTCCATTCTTCTTCGGACAACCAAGGCATCCACAGACTCTCGCTCCAGAGCAACCCAACCCTTCTTCAGCTAAAGGGAGATGTGCTGCTTTCATGATGAGCTTTGTGATTCGTGGTGCTTCGTCCTTTGGAAGGATCCAATGTCCATGTTCGGACAGAGATACTTGACAGTTTCTGTGGAAACTTCAAAGGTTCCCCTTCTCCACTTTCGCTTTCTGACCATGACCTGGGAGAGAACAGGAGGCCAATCAGGGCTCTTCGCAAGTCTGGCAGCTCGCGGTTCAGCTCGTTGACGTGTCGCGTTGCCCATGGCCACCAAGTTGGAGCTGCTTGTGCTTGAAGCAGGATCCTTCTGATTTGTTCTTTTAATGGACTTCACCGCTGTCTCGGCTCGTCCATTGGCTCTTGGATCACCTCCTGGGGTCCTCGTCAAAAGAATTCCTCTTTCTCTGCGCCATCTTTTGAAGTTCTCTTGGAACTCAAATTCGTGGCCTTGGTCACTGAATGTGGCCGATGTGATACCCGTCAGCTCGCAGACGCAACATCATGTCCATCACCACACGGGTGACTTCAGTGGCTTTCTTTGAGAACAGAGGAGCTGCAAGGCGAAAAACTCGCGTCTCGAACTCCTCTTTCTTTTCTGCCTCACCTTCTTTCTCCTCAGGTCTTGGCTCGCCTTCTTCCTTTGGAACTTCTTCCCCATCTGGGGCCCTTTGACACTCCTCTTCTTCTGGAACTTCGTCATCAAAGATTCCCTGAGGTTCTTCTGGTGGTTGATCAGGCTGATCTTCACTTGGAATCACTTCTTCGTCTTTTCTCGCTTCAAAGTTTGGTGCTTCACCTTCTGGCTCTGGCACTTCCTCCTCTCGCAGTGTGGAGTCTTTTGGCACAGTCCAAGTGAGAGCGCCGACCAAGATGTATGCAACCTTGTAGCCACCTGCATCGTAGGCTCTGGTGAATGGTCCTGTAGTGTCAATTGACAGGACTGCTCCAAGTGGGTGCTTCACCTTTCTGTGAGGCGGCTGTTGCTGTAGAGATTGTTGACACACCAGGCAATTTCGCCTAAAGGGAATGTGTCCATGTCCTAGATGCTCTTCCCATGACGACGAGATTCTTGGCTGCCGGTTGACAATCTGGGTCAAAAGCGCTTCGGCCACCATGTTCATCACACCTGGTGCCCACCTTGACAATTCAGATGAGGATTTGATCGCAGTAGAGGATGTCTTCTTCATTCGATGTTCTTCTGGGTTCAGCTCCAATTTTCCTGCCGTATATAGTTGGTTTTGTGGCTGCACCGCCATGATGTCCTTGACAGAAGGTGGCCTCGGAGAACCCAAGCTCCTCCATCAACTTCAGCCATTCGGTGGTGTCCCAGAAAGAGACACACTGTGGCATGTAGTGCTTTGGTGACGCAGGCTGCTCCAGAAGAAAACCAACTGGCCTTTGAACTTGTCGAGCTTGTCGTAGATATGTTGCAATCATCCACAAAAAGATGAATCTCCACATGAGGATATCGTCCTCTTCAACCTGGGCTTTTTCGGCTGGGTTTAAATCAGCTAGTCCATGTTCTTCTCCTTCCTACGCCGAAACTGGTCGCGGAGCGTTCTCCCTTGGGTAGCGTCGGAGAACGCGATCTGGTTCTGCAGTTTGGACCAGCGATGAATGCACCAACTCTATCTTGTAGGACTGCTCGAAGAAGCCACGCATAGACACCACTGTCCAGCAACATGTTGTGACCTCCTCTCTTCAAGTCGATCTCCAAGAGGTGAGTCTCGTTGCCACCTTGCTGCTTCCAGGCTCTTGACAAGGTGAACCCTTCAGATTCTCCCGCATGGATGTGCACAAGAAAGCCGTCTCTTTGCAAACGCTTTCGTTGGCACCGATTGACAGGCAAGTCCTTCCATTCTCAGATGTCAGTGACCAGTCGGCTTTTGATTCGTTGTGGAAGGCTTCGTAGAACTGGATGAC